GGGATTTAGCTCAGCGGCAAAAGCTCCTGCCTGGCAAGCGCAAGGTCGTGAGTTCGGTTCCCGGTACCGGAGAAAAACAAACAAAAAAAAAAAAAAAAAAAGAAAAAAAAAAAAAGCTAATCAAGTCGGGTGAGGTGGCGCACGCCTGTAATCCTAGCACTCAGGAGGCTGAGGCAGGAGGATCCCTGCCAGTTTGAGGCCAGCCTGGGCTACAAAACGAGTTTAAGGCCAGCTTCACTTGCATAGGGAAACTCTGTCTTAAAAAAGGGGGGAAGGGAGAAAAACGGAAAAAAATTTCTGTTTAGCTTAACAAACACCAGAGGACTTGAGGAGAGACTGCTCCTAGTCACTCCTTCAGGTCCACCAGCTCCTTTTCACAAATGACCCCGCTGCTGATGTTAACATCTGGCAAGAGCCGACTATGACCCTTCAAACCAGTGGGATAAAGAAGGCGGGTGCAAGGCAAGACTTGCAAAGGCAAGAGAGGCCCAGAGACAGGGCATCCTGTCCAACGGAACCTGGGCCGCGGCGATGCAGCCAGGTCTGCAGGATGAACGGAAGGGAGGCCGATGGTGGAGAACACAGCACGCAAGGTCCCTCACCTTCACTACAGCCGTTCCCCGGCTTCCCTGTCGACCACTGTCTAGCCCCGCTCCAGGCTTGTTTACAACCAGGGTAGCCATCCTGGGAGGAGCGGCGCCGCAGACAGCCCTCAGAACCGCCAACTGACAGGAGGGGGTGAGCCACTTACCCAAAAGCCTCTGCGCACGCCTCTGGTGCACAGGCGCAGTGCGACCCCGGGCGCCTCTCCCCGCCTCCTGTCGGTCTCCGCCCGGCCATTGGCTGTTGTGCTGCACAGCCTTGCGCATGGGCACTTTGCTGTTCACAAGGAACCAGCAACTGACAGATGCAAGAACGAAGTCAAGGGGGGACAAAAGAGACGAAACAGAATTTAAGATTTTAGGATGAAATCCTCGCTCTTGTAATGATGTATCCTCTCCAATTAGATACCAACCCGGTAGGGATTAGGGAACTACATCTCCCTGCATGCAATGCGATTTTTGTGTAAATTTAAAA